ATATATATATATAAACCTTTGCTGCCATCTAGTGGTGAAATACTAGATGGCAGCTACAGCTTTCACATTCATATATCTTTAGTACATGCAGTATATGATTATTACTTTTAATGTAAACACTATGGATTAACATTTATATAAATGTTATTAGAAAAATCAGCATCTTACTATCAGGAAATCTAAAAAAAAAWTTTAGCAATTGATGGTGACTGTGTTAACATTACATTTTGGGGACTCATTACTTCAGAATAGCGTTTAAACATAAAACAAAATAATGAAAACCGGTGACGGTGATGAAACAAGTTTTGACTTACTGCTCTGGTTTCGTACAGAACCATCCTCTGGATCCCACTGATGGTAGCCGCAGCTTGAGGCATTGATGCTTTATTCTGRAAGTCCCCACAAGACAGCACAAAATCTGCAGGGCAGATGTAAAAAATAACCTGAAATTCAACAACTTTACATTATGAAAACAAACGACAAAAACTGTACTCCAGTTTTTCCCCCTAATAGTCTTGAACTCTGGATAAAACTAGCTAATCTACTCACCAGTAAGTTTAGCTGCCGAGATATCTAGCTAAAATGACCCAAACTGTCTCGCGCGTTTATAATTAGCATGGCCGCTAGCAGCCAAACAACTGTTTTTTAATGTTTCTATACATTACTTTATTCAAACAGATCTATTTACACCTGCTTCGTTAGCATTCAGGAACACAAGTTTTTTTTTTTTTTTTTAACTCAGGAATACAAGCGACTGCAGTCAGGTGACTGTGATGACGGGATATCAGCGGGTACAGTGTCTCGCTAAGTCCAAAAAGCTCAAGACAAAAAAAAACGCGAAAAATAATTTTACTATTTTTGTTTTAGCATTTCACTGTGCCTTTTTTTCATCTCTTGAGGTCACATGTAAGTGTTATTTAAGCTCATATTTAAAAAAATAAAAACATTTTATTGTGTATGTAAATGCTAAGGGGGAACATTTATCAGTCTCACGTTGACAAGGCTTCTCTGTTTTTTGTTTCTATGGCAACCGTGTTCGAATTACAGGGTTCCCCCTAAAACTGGRTTAGAGACAATACAGTCCCCTCAGAGTTATATCAGGTGTACTTTCGACAGGTAAAGATATAATAACAGCTTGAAGTGGTTATAACTGATAGATACTGACAGTTTTGATGCAGTAATGGCTGCTGGACAAGTAGGAATGAAAGGTTTGGTGGACAATTTAATAGAGGATGAAGTTGAGAGTCTTCGGGCTAAACCTGCCTGCTTCAYCATACTTGGAAGACCGGTAAGACCCAACATAAACATATTAGCAGAGTGGTAAAGTAACCAAGTACWAATGCTTTGTTACTGTACTTAAGTAGAATTTTTTGGGTATCTGTACTTTACTTGAGTAATTATTTTTCAGCCTACTTTTTACTTCTACTTCTAACATTTTCACACAATTATCTGTACTTTCTACTCCTTATATTTTAAAAAAAGACAAGAAGTAGAAAGT